GAAAAAATTATTTCATATTTTATAGTGAAAATATTATTATATTTATATATTTTTTATAAAATTTATTTTCTAGATTTCTAATAAATACATATAATAAATATATATTTAATAAATATATGACGTATGATATATAGATAAGCTCTTTACAAGTTAATAAATCAGGAGACTGATTGATGAACCTCTTTTCTCAAGCAAGAGAATTTCGCAAGCAAAAGAAAAGGAAATAAAATTATTCAAGATATTATAACAAAATAAACTATCACGAATCACAAAAGTTCCATTTCGAGCTAAAGTCAGTATGCACCGATGCAGGTCGAACACGTATCAAATTTGAAATTGGCGAACAGGGCATTAGTTTCCGGCGAACAAACTCCTTTCGGTATAGAGCATCGTGACCATTGTTCGCGCTAGATATCTGCAGGAAGCTCCTGTGTCCAAATATCGTTCATTATTCCAACAATTGTCTAGTAATTCGCGAGAGTTGTCGCAACGGATTTAACACTCACAGTCAGATGATGAAAATCATTCCAAATTACAATGTCGAATAACTATATAAAAAACGAGAAAGTCGTCAGCTTTCTAATTCAAAAAGCGAAAGTCATCAAAAATATGTTTTAATAATCAAATAATCGCGCGATGCAATCTACTAAACTTTATAAGGACCAATTGTGTCAACATTACTTGAGCTAAAATCGAAATAAGAATTTTTCTCGAGAAAAAATTTGCTATAAACTCAGAAGAGATTACAGAATATTCAAATTTGTTTACTATTTATAGCAAATATATTTGATAAATATTTTGCATTTGTTGCAAATAATTTTTATAGCGAGTACAAAAAAGATCAAATATTAATTACACTTACAAATAATTTACAATCTCTATATGTGCAAATAAATTTATCATTATGGCCTAGGATTAGCGTTTATATCAAATTTTTTCTCTCTGCGAGGTGGAATAGCTATTCTATTTATTTTTCACTGGTAAATAATTAAATTCGGTAATCTGTGAATCTGATAGTTGACAGATTTGACATAATATTTGCATGCATAGATATGTCAACCACCATTGAATATCTATTCAATTATTCAAATATACGCCAACTGGGATCGCCATGACTTTCTATAATAAAAGTTCGTAAGATTTGTCTTCGCGATCCTGGAATCTCGTTTTTCATCTCATCGCGTCACTAGCGAAACATCCATCATGTGGATCGACGCGTAATCGTCGTCGCGGACTTGCGACACGTCAAATCGATACCCGTCAATCCCCAATGAGCGGCGATCAAACCATTTCAGCGACCTCATAAATAATGAAGCGCATGTAGATGCCACCATCGTGATAAACCGTATGTGTTGTGACGAATTTGCCGGTTTTACATTGCTAACGATATGCGATAACATCTATATCGCATTCTCTTCCGTTCTCGTAATCGATTAAAATATCGTGCAATTATCTTAAACTGCTTATTTAAGATCGTATAAAAATAGAATGTATTACACGTGATAACAGTTTAACTCGTAAATAAGCAATTACTATTATAAATTTAACTCTATTGAGAGTACAATATTATGATATTTAGTGAACAAAATAAAAAATATGACCTATAAAAGGAAAGGATAATTTTGTTGAAGTATTTAAACTTTAGATAAATATAAATTTAAAAATAATTTTGATCCGTCAAAATAACATGTAGAAAATTTCAAGTATGAATGAATAATGGCTGCATGAAGCTTTGACAGTCTAATTTGAGCATTTTATATATATAATTATTTTAATAGCCCAATAAATTTGTCTAATAAATTGAAAATAAGTAAAATTATTTTCAGATCTATATGCTTTAGTTAAATTTTTAAATATTTTAACAAAACCGTTCTTTCTATATGTATATTATTGCTGCTTGTACAAGATTGATAATAAAAGAAAATTGAATAAGAAAAAAGCATCTAGAAGTAGGTGGAAAATGATGCGCAAAGTGAGAATACTTAGTATTTAAAAACTAATAGTCTGTAATCTATAATCTCGAGCTTACATGTTGCGACTCAATTTTGACCTTTCTTCAGAGCGTACATAAAAAAAATTGATAATATCTGCTTTTTACATATAAAACAGTATAAAATATAATAACTAAAAAAAAAAAATGCTGCTAATTATAACATTCTACATTTTTGGAATCAAAAATATTGCAAATATAAAATGTATTCGAATATTTCTCTATAAAGAGTATTTTACATTGTCTCATCAATAACGTAGTATTCGCATTTTATGATATTATATAATATAATATAGAAAAAAAATATGAAATTTATTTTATTAAAGTTTAAATTTATAAAAAAATAAAAGAGAGAGAGGAAGGTAGAAAAAAGAGAAAAAATACGTGTAAGTTGTATAAAATACTATTAATTCTATAAATGTATATTAATATGAGATATTTTCGAATTTCAAATACGTAGCTTGCATACTTATTTATATATTATATATAATTGTGTAGAAATTATGTAATTGAGCAAAATTTTCTTCTATACGTTTGCATTAGAACGCGCGAATCATCCGCGGCTTTTGACGCAAATGTATTGTATACTGTACTAATGCTTAACAGGCATCACTAATAACAACCCTATAGTAAACGTATTAAGCATATCGTATGACAACTAACGGATAACTGTCATGCAGCAATTCCATAATGAGAACCATAATGAGAACATTACCTGAATTAGATCATAATAAATATCTCATTCCTATTAATTGTAGAATCACAATATGGGTGCCTTCCATTTAGTGACATAATTAAGTATTGTTCTGTCTTTGTTGCACATAGAATTCAAAGAAAGATAAAACGACATTTGTGTCGATTTGTCACTAAATGGAATTTCGACAATTATCGATGCACATATTATACTATAAACAAAGTACATAATTAATGCTTAATTTTATTTATTATATATTCTCAAAAAGAGCATTTAAAAAATATTTATTAAAAACCTTATTATTTGTAAAATTAAAAAGAACGAAGTCTTTTGTGTTTTATGAAAGAGATAAATATTTACACATGAAGGATAAATTATATGAAATGTTTCATTAATTATGACACAAATTTTATAAGCAATATATATAAATCTGTAGTTTATAATTTGTCATAACAAATACGTAATCAAAATCGATTAAATTATCTATTAGAATGTAAAGTATCTCGATAACGTACATATGTCTTGACATACATAGAGTTTATACGGTTCAAACGTCAAAGTGCTTTTGATCCGTGCTTGAACACAATTGGGTACGTCAATACATCGATCGGGACCCTTGGTGGGATAATCAATCTTCATCAACGGTTCATCAAAAATCAATTGTTTTTACAGCGCCAATGTTGTACATTAATGCTTTTAGCACTGAACGTTCAGTTCTCTTCCAGTGGCTACCTTAGGCAGGAAACTCAATTTGCAAAATGAAATTCATGGTTGACCGATGATGATCGTCGCGAGATAGGAGACAATCAATCCGCTTGATGCAGCACTACCCCGCGGGGTAGATCGCTATTGCTGGTGGCTGACCTCTGATTCACTAGCACACTGCGTGAATTAGTCCGTGGCGTTTGTTCGCAAAGGTATCATCCAATCATGCTAGTGCATCATACGCCGTCGTGATATGCGTGGCTAAGCCATCTACCTAAATTGAGCTTTCTATCTTTTATTACCATTTAATGAATATACTGAACGTTATCTAGATTACTTGTCTCTTTGGCTTGTACACATTGTTAAAAACACCATCGACTGATCACTTAATGAAACTTTTAAAAAATAAAATTAGGAAATGAGAAGACTTGAAAACAATTTCTGAATGTGCGCCAAATTATTTTACGTTATTATAAATTTTCACGACAGAAATATACTATATGTACAATATAATAAGAAAAATCTCTTTTTTCTAGATTTATTCTATAAACGCGACTGTTACTAATTAATTTTTATGTTGCTTAAAAAGTATCTAAAATTCAATATTATAATTATATTTTTATATTATTTTATTAAATAGAATTAAAAATTAAATGTGTGGGAAGAAAAGTAATTTAATCGGATTCTTAAAGAAATTATTTCTTCTTTTAAAAAGAAATCGCAAATCTCCACTTAAGCCACGCTTGCCCGCATAAAAATTAATTTATACGAATTCAATACAGCTTTCGTGATAAAGAAATTCAAACTACAGTGCACAGAGAGAAAAGTCTTTAGGAGGAGGAAGAGATCTGATAATTGCGTTTGGCTGCCGTTTTCAACGCGCGCTCGGAAATTACGCCCCGGAACTCTGACGGCGCATTAAATAGCCGGCAGACATGTTCGCGCGCAAAACAATGAGAGACTATAGAGATCGTTTGCGACACACACGTCGACCAACCGGGGATTTACGATGCTGTGGGTGCTTTCCCTAGTCTTTGTTCTAACACGACCAAGACGTTGCAGGCTCTCGCGGGCCAGTATTGTAGCGGCACGAGCGTTGATGCTTGAGAACTTCCGGTACTAAACATTTATAACGTGTTCCTGAATTTGAATATCTTCGTGATTCAAAGTTTATGTAAATTAGTCTATTTGTCAATCGTTATATATACGTATATATCGGTAATGTCGAATTTAAGAAACAAAACAGTGACATTGTTTTAAAAGAAAAGTTGTTCTAACATTATATTTGCCATTATTTCTCTTTTAATACATGAATAACATTTAAGATAAAAACTGATAGTATCGGTAAAAGATTTTCAAGCATTAACATATACTTTTATTTGACTAAAAAAATATCTGTGTACAGTTTCAACTAAATACTGTTTCAATAATCTTCATAAATTTCTTTGTTGAGCTAGAATATTGGAGATGTTTAGAGCCACTAGAATTTTTTAAATTACACAGATTCGAGAGATTGGTGATTGAGAAAATAAAATGTCAGTTTGCGGCAGCAAATTGTGTTAAATTTGCGTAGCAAACATGCAACTACAGGTTGTACTGTTTACGTTGCAGGTGTCCTGGATGCGCAAACGGGACATGCATATCCTGAGTGCGGGCATCTTCATGTATACGTCGGACCTGAGGTTCCAGGTGATCCATCCGGACAAGTCGGAGAACTGGACGCTGCAAATCAAGTCGCCGCAGCAGCGCGATTCTGGCGTATACGAGTGCCAGGTCAGCACCGAGCCGAAGATGTCGCTCAACTATAGCCTCAACGTGGTTGGTGAGTACCGCTTGTATTATTTATTCGTCGAGCCCGGTTACGTAAATTGCGGCCTTGACTTGATTCTGTTCGAAGTCTTGTCTCGAATGGCAGACGTATGTTACGGCTGCTTTTCGATCGGCTGCTGTCTCGGAGAAAAGATTGTTCGCGACACGAGCCGGTTGGTACGATCGAACGGGTTAAAGTTTAAACGCTTAAGTGCTCCGTCGTGGGATTATCCTCTCGATGTCGCATCGTGCTCTAAAATCCCCGTCGTTTGAGGATTAACGAGTTGCAACTCGCCATCGACATTGAGATTTAACGATTATGATAAAAAGCTGCTATCATGAAATTGTTTAGTACGTGTAGTCTAATTGATCAATTTAACCAATTCATTTTTTAACATTAGAAAATTCTAAAGAAGATGTATTATATAAAATTGATCCAATTGATACATATTGAACTTTGTCCAATATTATATTTACATAAAGATAAACAGTGATATTATAAATTTTATAAATATTAATATTTATT